CCTCTGCATCTTCCTGTAACATGAATTTTTACTATTATTTTTTTTGCAGGGGGACTTAAGTGTACCTGATGTACCCAAGTCTATGGCCTGGTGTGAAAGCTCCATCTGTGTTGGTTTCAAGAGGGATTATTATTTGATACGGGTAAGACTGGGATTTGCAACAGGGTGTATAAGGAAATTTGGATCACAATATAGGCTGCTCTTATTCTTAAGGAATTAGTTATGAGACATGAAAAGACAATATCTTGTACCATTACTGTATGTGGTTTTGCAAAATACAATTTTAAGTGTCTCTTTAAGGGTGTATTTTGTCAGGAAGAGATTTTTCTTAGCACAGTTGAAATTGGTAGTTGAAAAAGTTGTAGAAAAAGACATTGGAATATGATTTTGGTTCAGTAACAGTTTCTATAAGCCCATCTTGGTTTTTATTTAATGTCTTAAGAAAAGAGCCACATTTAAAAAGAAGTAAGATGGAGGTTGTCTTATTTGACAGACAGCGCAACTTAACTGTCCCACTCCGCTTCACCCCCCATCCCTGATTTGGTCCTTTTATGGAATCGTAGTAATTTCTGTTAAAGTTGCTTAATTCAGTAGCTATATTTGATAATAATTTCTGCCATTATAGTTGACTTTTGACCGTATTGTAAAATCCTGAAGTTCAGCAGAGATGTTTAGACACTTTCTCTGGTGGTATTACTGTGCTATGCATTCTGAATACTTATTCTGAATTGTGTGCCCAGCTACTGTCATAGTAATAGGTATATTGCTACCTCAGACACATAATATATTAACATTTTGTTTCCGAATGATGTGTGAACTAAAGAAATGCTGGTATTCAGAAACTTTCCTATTTCTAGTCTTTAAAATTGTACTTGTCCTTTTAATGATTAATCTGAGTTGTGAAGCCCCCTGCCATGCAATGACTTTTTTGTCTTTTAGACCTTTGGTCTTCAGCAGTTCTGAAATATGCATTACATTGAACAACAATGTATTTTTCTTTATCCTTGTCCTAGGTGGATGGAAGAGGATCCATCAAAGAACTATTTCCTACAGGCAAACAGTTAGAACCATTGGTGGCCCCTGTAGCAGATGGAAAAGTTGCAGTTGGCCAAGATGATCTAACTGTAGTGCTCAATGAAGATGGGGTCTGTACCCAGAAGTGTGCCTTGAACTGGACAGATATTCCAATAGCCATGGGTGAGAATGAGCAGTAGTCTTTTATTTTCCTTTCAGTCTGTCATATGATGATCATAATTTTACATTCTTAATATTTAGAAACTGACTGGATTCTGAGTGTGACAGTTCTTGGGAGTATTACGGGTTGTACTTTTCAAAAGAGTTGCATTTGTTTATTTCTATTTCTGTCATTCTTTTACTCCTAGTCTGCATGCCTCTCCTTTTCAGAAAGCAAGTGTATTGTTTATCTTTATAAACAGAGAAGATCTGAATGACAGGGCAGTGTTAGAGCACCAGCTTTTCTGAGCAGCCAAATAATACAGAAATTTCATGTATTGAAAGAGGAACAAAAAGCTTTACAGTATTGTATTAGCAAATTGCTATCTATCTCAGGCATTAAGTTCCTTCATAAGCAAAAAAGACACATTTCAAGGGGGAAAAATAAGAAAGTAAAAAAAGGAAAAGGGAAAGCATTTTTTTTT